CTAATATTTGAGCAGTGTATCTTACTCAAGTGATATGCTGACTTATTAAAGTGGTTTTCTGATACTCCCCTGTAACATTTCTTGCTGGCATCTATGAAGCTTCAGATGTTACAGTATACCATTATATCATTGAAGTACTGACTTCAATGATCAAACTTCTGTTTATTTCAATGGTACAAGGTTAAGGCCTGGATATCTGGGTGAATTACTGTACTGATTTAGCAATCTACTTTTTACCGTTGAAGGATCATGCACAAAAAAACACCCCAAACCAAACCAACCAACCAAACAAAATATTAAATAATTTCTTTCTGCATTAATTCATATACATAGAAACAAAGAATGTGTACATGTGAGTTCATGTGTTGTATTCCTGGCACTGATTGACAGATTTTACACACTTAGATTTTACAATCTCTCTGCCCAAATTTTCAGCTATTTCCCTGGCAGATATGAATAAACAAAGAAAGATTGCGAATTATGGGCAGACTGGGATGAGATAGGACAATGTCATGATCCAGTGTTTGTGACATTGGAACAAAGAATAATTTAATAACTTAATTGATCACCTCACTTTAACCTCTAATTTCTAATAGAACAAGGTTTGTATCAGTGACCTAAGTGTTACTTTTTGAACCTGTTTTAAGTAGCTTTCGGATAAACATGCTACATTTCTGATAAATTATATAGTTTCTTGGTGTATTTCTTGGTGTTTTTTTGATTACCCTGCAGGACTTCAAATTTCTACTGTGACTCAGTTAGTGTCATTAGCACTTGTTTTAGATAGTGGAGCCTGTCCAGGGCAGGATTTTATTTCATAGCAGGTGCTTCATAATGTGACTGTGAAATCTGGGATGCAAACAGTGAAGAAATTCTCAATTGTGTGTGTTCCTAGAGCTTTAACTTAGCCATTTGTGTAACTCTTTACTCACTGACTTCAAGTCACTCATCTCAGAGGTCTGTCAAAGCTCTTCCAACAAGATGGTCCCTCAGCTGAGGTCCCTGCTTGATGTTGGGACTTGTTGCTTTGGGAAATACAACACTGTGAGAAATGAAGTGAGGGTCCTTTGAGATGCACAGGTTAGGGAATCCGTAACTCAATTCTACCCTATGTCTAACTTTCGCTCCTGTTTATCTCTGCGGGCTGATGTCACCTTTAACTGACTCACGGCTTACAGAAGGGACTTCCCAGTTATTGTTAGCTCCTTCTATATCATGTTATGTAAATGGATGTGAAAATGAGTAAACCTGGTTTTGATTTTTTTGTTTATACACTCTTGTCCTAGTTTAGGGCAAATTTGGGGAAAACCCTCTGGAAGGAGCCCCCAGAAAACAAGCCCCCACGGCCCCTCCCCACCCACCTGGTTCGGGAAAAAATTTTCTCTGAGAGGAGTGTAAAAGAACCTGTTTATTTAATGAACAAAGCACTCCCCAGCACCAGAAAAATTACCAACACCAGATGACAACAAAACTCTTTCACCACTCTGAAGAGATGAACAAATCCAGAAAGTCTTTCCTGGGAGTGGTCGCCCGGGTCTGGATGCTGGGGATTGCTCTCCAGCACTGGGGATGGCTGCTGCAGATCACAGAGCGCAGGCTCTCAGTGTTCCTTGGTGCTTCCCAGGTCCCAGTCCAGAGCAGATTGGATGGTATTCAGGAAGAGGAAAGGAAAAGAAACAGTCCAGGGAAAGAATTGGACTGCTTAGCTAAACTAACTAGGAAGCAAAGGCAAAAGCAGAGCAAGCCAAGCAAGCAAGCAAGCCAAAAGCAAAGCCAGCCAGCACTAGCCTTTTTTAGACAGCAGACCATGGGGGGAGGTGAACTGGCTGATAACAAGGCAAAACAAACCTTCACTTTCAGAGTCAGTTCTGAAAGCACAGAACATAATATCAAACATAAACAGAACACACGACTGGGGATACAAACACCATAACGTCACCCTAGGACAACTCTGTCAGTGGTATGAAAAAGAGCAGACCTGCCACTGTGCTCCAAAACTCCTGAGACTCCCCAGTCCCAGTTTACAAGAGAAGTTCAAATGAAAAAAATTCATGAATACCTGACAAATTTCTGGCTCCATGAGGTAAAGTCCACAGAGAGGGAGTCATACATTACTGAAAATATATATAACGATCAAGTACAGCATAGGGTATGTTTAAATAATGACTTCTTGTAAATTTTTATTGAAAATTCCTCTATTTGTCCAGAATGGCTCCCTCAGGTCACTTTCAAAAACCCTGGAGAAGCATCAGATTTGAAAGCAGACATCTGATTCAAACATTTTGCAGCTCAGAAATGGAGCTATCTTCTTAGGAAGAGAATAACTTCCATAGGGACTTGCTATAGATTGTGGCATAGTTTGAATTGTGGCAATGATAGTCTTTGGCTCTTCCCTGTTTAAGTGATGCTTACAGAGCAATTAATTCTACAGCAGCCACCGATATTTTCCCTGGCTAGACAGTGATAGAGATACACCAAAAGTCTAGAAAACTACACCCAGTTTAAATCCCCAGATTACTAACTTTTTGGGAACCACTCTAGTTAATCTTATGGTGAGGTTTCCTGCCCCCTTTCTCCACCTTTTCTTGTGGTAAAATGAGTTTTGCAGTTCTGTGGATGCTGATCTGGGCTGGTGACAGAAACACTGCTCAAGTCCAGTGAAGAAAGGAGGGGATGCTGGGGAAGGACTAGAAGAAGAGTGAGAGGAGATTGCATGTTAGTGTGCTGCAGTATAGAAATGAATTTAAGGAGAAAGACTAGAGAAAGATATAGAAACCAATAAAACAAATTGATCTTTGAACTTCAACATGGTGGCAAAGCCATATTTAAACAGATCTATTAAAAAAACCTCAAAACAAAACAAGAGCAAACAACTGCTAATTTTTTAAAGTGTATCTTTTCCTTTAGTTTTTCTTTGTGATTCTTCTCCTTTTAAATTCTGTTTTGTTCAGAACCGTGTGAATATATCCTCAAATTTTGGATTTTGTCATTCTAATCCTGCAAATCCATCTCCCAGCTAAGCCTTAACTACTCAATGAATTATCTGTAAAGAAATCCAGAAGATTTCAATGCAATAAAACATTCTACTCTCTACATCATATTATGTAGGAAAGAAAATTGAACACTTGGACAAACTTCAGACTTTATAATGGATTTATGTGTTTTATAACAGCATTTGTAACTTGTTATGTTTTCATTTATTTCTTATATATCATACATGATAGAATGAAATAATAGAATATCCTGAGTTAGAGGGGACCCACAAGGAAAATTGAATCCAGTTCCTTGTTGTACACAGTACAGTCCCAAGAGTCAAGTGCTTGAGAGCACTGTCCAAATGCTTCTAGAACTCTGTCAGGCTGGTGCTGTGAGCACTTCCCTGGAGATCCTGTTCAATGCCTAACAATCCTTTGGACGAGGAACCTTTTCCTCATATCTAAACTAAACCTCGCACAATTTCAGACCATCCCTCAGGTCCTGTCATTGTCACCACAGAGAAGAGATCAGTATCTGCCCCTCCTCTTCCCCTCATGAGAGTTGTGACTGCAGTGAGGTCTCACCTCAGTCTCCTCCTCTCCAGGCTGAGCAGACCAAGTGACCTCAGCCACTCCTCACACAGCTTCCCTTCAAGGCCCTTCACCATCCTCATGGCCCTCCTCTGGACACTCTCTAACAGCTCAATGTCTTTTTTGTGTTGTGGTACCCAAAACTGCCCCCAGCACTCGAGGTGAGGCTGCCCAAGTTCAGGGCAGAGCGGAGGGGACAATCCCCTCCCTTGCCCAGCTGGTGATGCTGTGCCTGATGCCCCCCAGGACAGGGTTGGCCCTCCTGGCTGCCAGGGCACTGCTGACTCATGTTCAGCTTCCTATTGACCAGGACCTCCAGGTCCTTTTCTATGCAGTTTCAACTCTTTTAAAATAAAGAATGACACTCATTTAAGAAATTAGAAAAGTAAATTTACATTTATTCACTAACCAGAAAAAATTGTAGCTCATGCTAGATTGAAAACCTCCCTAAGCTGTCAGAGTGGTCAGATGCAAATTTTTAACTACCATTTTTCCCTTCCCATGAGACTGAGAAAGGGAAAAGTTAATGAATATAAATTATAATGTGTTCAGTTGAAAACAAATGGCTTAACAGCATACAGAGTACCAGTCAAAAAACTCATGCTTTTTCCACACTCTAAAGCTTCAAAGAAAAGTATACAGCTGGCACCTCTGTATACATAGATGAAGTTGAAAATGTGATAAGTGGAATGAAATTAATCTGTTGTGTCCTACCATGTTTAGTGTCAATATGGCCATTAGAATTTTTATTGAAATGTTTTTGGCTTTTTCTGGTTTTAGTCTGTTTGTTGCCAACAAGCATATTTTGAGATCATTCATTTAAAGTTGGCAAAAAGAATGGAAAGGACAAAGAATGTAAATGAGTTTGAGATGCTTGTGACTATGGCTTCTGATGGGTAGAGAAGACTATATACAATTATTTCGTTTAAATATGGAGAAGCCACAGCATAGAGACTTCAATGATTTTGTGCAAGTATTCTGAGGAATGTATGAGACTGAATAGCTCATAGTCCCAACTCTACAGTCTGTTTCAGTGAAGCTCCAGTCCAGCTTCAGGAATGAGGCAATAGAACTCAATTTAATTGCGCAGTTGAGTGACTTTCTATTTGAAAAAGTGTTTTGCCAGCATCAGTCTCTTTGATCTAAAATAACATCCAATCCAAACAGTTTCCATGTACCTGAGGACCCTCTTTTATGCAATAGGACTACTGAAGGTTGTACTGCAAGGCAACTCTAGCTGCTTTATATTTTTGCATAAAATACAGGAATCTGAGCAGTTTAAACACTTCACAAACATAAAATGAGGTCTTAATTTCCCCAACCACAGATGCTGCATTGCTTGTACTCTGATAGAAAGCAGCCATCATTTTCCCACATGGGAAAAGATATCAGGCAGACATGAAGGATCCTCCCCAAAGTCTATAGTACCAAATATGCATCACAAAATTCTAAATATTGTGTCTCTCTGCTGCTACTTAGTATTTGGAATGTGTTTGTTCTGGGGATGTCACCTTGTGAGGTCTGAGGGGCTCATGCTCAGTGTTACACCTGCAGTCACTGTGTGCTTGCAGAGTGCTCCAGACTTGTACACATGTCACAATGAGCCACAAGCAGCAAAGCTTAGCACAAGCCAGTGGTTGCTGTTTTCTCATGCAGAGCCCTGAGAGAGTCTGGACACAGAATAACTAATTGACAGAGTGCTTTGATGATCTTAATACAAGTCCTTTCCCGTGGGTATCTTTGCTTTTTTAGAAGTAGTATCTGAATTCTGTCTGAAAATTTTCATGGGGCTTGTTTCTAGTGTGGTAACATTTAAATGGTACATGAGAGCAGAGTTTGTCTGTTTTATTTCCTGACATCTCTCTGTGGGAATTGCTATGAATGCAGCTAATTATACTAAACCAAATTTTCCTGCCCCTGCTGAAACTCTTTGGTAGGTTGTGTCTAATATGTTGTGAATACTTCTTTTACCCTCATATCTTTTCAGGTTTCCACTTTATTTCACTCTTTCTTTATTGTCTTGTTAGGCTTGCTAACCTTTCTCATCCTTAAGTAACCTAGATCGAAAGAATGATTTCTGGATTTGGGCCCCTAGAAAACAATTTCTGAACTTTTCAGCATGAATATGAGGAAAGGGAACTGTAACATATGAAACACTTTATGGGCTAAATCTTGACAGATAGTATTATCTTTCAGGAATAAATAAATGTGTTCACTGCCATAATGTGCTGCTTTCTCTGCCCCAAATTCTATTTTTATTTCTGTTCTCCTAAGCAGAACAGAACAATAATAAAACATTAATTTTACTTTTTTCTTTTTTTCCTATTTGAAATATTTTCTAGCCTAACTCCAAAGAGCAAGCTGCAAATAGAGATGAGGTCTTTGTAGAAGACCACCTGCTGATGCTCTGTGAGGCAGCTTTACCCATCCTGAATCAGCTAGATCTCTTGGCAGTGCTACCTTACTCCTGTCAGGTGAGAAGTGGGCTGTTCACAATTACACTTGACATATTTCCTAGCCCAAATTTTTTATTTTTTCAAGTCTTCGGTTTTCTTGGTTAAGCTTGACACAGAGATTAAAAAAAAACCCAAACTAATCACAATTGAATTTTACAGTCAAAAGCATTGAAGGAATTGCCCTGACTGAGCCATGGCCACAGAGAAGATGGGAGCAGAGCACCTGGGGACATTCCTGCTGCCTCCAGACTGGAAATGGATTTAGTGGAAGACGTCATTGCACGGACACAGCAGTGCTCACTGTGTTGCTGCCTTGCAGCCAGTCCACCTGAGCTGGCACTTCATTTGTGCAGAACTGCTGGCTCAATCCTCAAAATGCCAAAGAGGGATTACTGTGAACTCCTTTTTGTTTTCACAGGAGTGAAAATATTTTGAGTGATAAAAGACATCTTCCCACAGAGACATTGTGCAGAGTCACAAGCACATCTACTCCCACCCCCTTCATAGAATCTGAGGGTCACTGGATGGGTTGAGTTGAGTTGGGTTGGGAAGGACCACAGTGGGTCATCTGGTCCAACTTCCCAGCTCAAACAAGATCAAACCAGTGCACATGGCACAGGGCTGTGTCCAGAGAGCTTTTGGATTTCCCTAGAGAAAGAGACTCCACACATCTCTGGGCAGCCTGTTCCAGCGGCTGGTCACTCTCACAAGCAAAGTCTTGGAAGTGTTCCATTAAGGTTCTGAGCACTAATGAGCCAAATGCCACTAAGCTCTTGTTAGATTATGCAAAATTCATGCCTTTGCACAAATGGATTGATCTACTTTGCCTAGCTAAGTTCCAGGAATCATGATAATGTTGTCATTTTACAAGATGAAAACCATGAGGAAAATGGGTGGGAAAAGGAGAAGCATTTTTGAGCAAAAACAGATATATAGAGACAAATTTCAGTTGGAAGTTGTTCCACTTTTTATCCACAAGGGAATGAATCAGATAAGTTGCACCTAATTTTTTTTTTCCAACAAAGATAGTAATTAAATTTTTGTATCAGATAACACCATATTACACTGAAGAAAACTTTTCTTCCAGTACCAAGCAATGACTTCATTAGAATTGCATTTTAATGGAGAATATGTTAGTTCATTATCAAGTATTTTATTTCATGGTTTGTGTATTCTAAAAACACGCTTGCTCTAGAAAGTTTCTTTTCAGATTCAGGCCAGCTTTTTGAAAAGCTTTGTGTGAAGATGCTCTCTTTTATTTCTTTAATATGTCCCTATTTGTGTGATCTAGATAGCAGTCTCTACTGAGGAGGCCACAGTGTGCAATGGGATCTCTTACAGTCAAATACCTGGAATCCTGTACCATTATGCTAAATGTAGAAAAGAAAGATAATGCAAATTTTTTTTTGTTTTGCTGTTGGTTTTTAAATTTTATTTCTAGAAAATAATAAATAGTTGCTGTAGGGGTAGTAAAACGAGGAAGAACAGAATATGAATTTTATTGGTAATGGAAAATGACCCAGAGGCTTTGGGATATTTCTTTGAGCAGAGGATGCAATTGCATTAAGGCAGGACTTCATCAGTCGACCATGATGTGAAGATAGCAGGTATGTGAGGAAAAGCAGAGCTGAATATCCTAAAACTTACCTTGAACTGAACTTGTACTGCTTCTATTTCTTTACCAAGGTGTTTATGATATTTATTGACTCTGCATATTAAATGAATCTCTGTGAATTTCAGTTATCCTTCATACTATGCTACAGTTTGGCCTCAAACTCATAGATTGAATTTGTTGTTTTGTCTGTATATTTGTCTACAGTTGTCTACATATTTCTTTCTTTCACAGGAACTTTGCAGGTAAATGCAGCAACTGTAGGATATTTGCAAATAAATAAAATATAATACAATGAACTATCTGTTAAGGATCTTTTACAGCTAGTTGAATGCTCTGAGCTGAAATGTGGTCAGGAAAAGTAACTGACTTAGTTTAGGGTACTGGGGTAGGGAGAACATAAGTATTTATCCTGAATTATACTTCTGTATGTATTTTATGATCTATCTCTCTATCTCTATTTTTCTATTTTGCAAAGTTTTGCCTGGCTCAGGATATTGATCAGAGTAATGAAGCAACTATCCTTTAACCAGTCTTTTAATAAAACACTGATTGTAATTGAGCAGGGATGATTTTTATCCAAAATTATGTTAGAAAATTATATAGCTGCCAGTATGTTACACTTATATGTTCCCAATCTCTTTCATTGACTTAAGAGCTGTTGGACTTCCTGGCTGATATATTTTTATCATAGTTTGGTTCCTTTTTATTTAAGCAGCTTTTGTCCATGTCATTAGTCTATTCCTTTCCACTTGCTCTGTGAAGATTTAAAGAAAAAAACCACAAAAAAATCATATGGAAAGAAACTGTCACTGGCATGGCCTTCCTAGATTTACTGAGAGCAGTAAGTATTACTGTTACCAAAGGGACAAGGGCGCTCATCTACAAATCCTCGAGTCTCATGGAGGAGCCTGTTGTAGAGTGAAGGAGCCCTGCTTTGGAGACACACACGTTCTGCCTCTGCTGCCCTGCCACAGGATCAGCTCACATGATCTGCGTGCAACGCATCTGTTAATCCCTTTTGTGTGAGGGAGGGCTGTTCTGAGCCTAAAATGAAATCAAATTGGTTCAAGGGAAATGAAAACTGGAAGAATCAGCTTCATTGAAGAGTTTTAAATGAGCCCTAGGGCATTGTCATTTCTTTTGTTTACACAGAATGAGAGGTTGTTGTTGTTTGGAGTGCTGTGCTGTTCACCTCTGAAGGATCTGGTCTCATGATCTAGAAGATGAAAGGTCTGTGGTTTGCTTGGCCCTTAAGACTCTTGTTTCCTGCCTCTGATTTTCTGGCAGCTGAAGGCACAGGGGAGTAAAGCTTTCTGAAGAAGGCTGTTCTCTTCAAGAGAGAAAATTGTAATTATTTCTGATGAAAGGATTTTAAAAGCTTTCATTATAGGACCACTACAGAATGGTTCTGAGTCTTAAGACAGAGGTTACTGTCTGATATTCATTACAATCTTCTGGCTCCTTCAGGTTTCTGGTGGTTTTTTTTTTTGTTGTTGTTTTGTTTTTTTTTTTTTTTTTTGGTGTGTGTGTGTGTGTGTTTGTTTGGCTTATTTGGAAAACTTCAAACAGTGTGGTATCTCTGAGGAGGAAAGGGAAGGAGCATGTATTTCTTTGTCACAGGCCAGCCCTTTATTTTGAAATAGTTGTGTATAAATACAGGAAAAGCAGTTCAGGAGCTTCTGCCTTCAGAAAAAGCTGGCTGTGGACAAAGGAGCAGTATTCCCTGAGACAAATATTGCTGAGAAGAAATTATTAGCAGCATGTCTATCAAGCTGAAACTGGTGCTGGGCTTTCATATCATAGATATGTATGTACTAGATATGTAGTAGGAACTTCTATCTAGTTAATACAGACTGGATATATCTAACATAATTTTGGTGTTTAATTCCCATTGAAAAAATATTCTCTTTGAGGATAAGATAGAGGATGAGTCATATTTTACTCAGCACATAAGTGTTTAATTTTTAATAAGAGAAAATATTTGTTTCTACAGAAAGAGTATAAGTTACTTTTCTTTTCTTGTTGTGAAGTACCTATAGAACAAGAAGAAACCAGTCTGTTGAGAACATATCACATTCCACACAAGAAGAATGTAAGCTTTAGGGACTTTGAAAAGAAAAATAAACAAAACAGCAACATGCCTTTTGGAAAAAAAATTAAATGTTGCCCAGTTGAAAATGTTCATCATTAGCATCATCACAATGACCTTTTAAATCAGTCTGTAATATATTTCTATGATTTGTCCAATTTACTGTTTTTGTCATAAGATAATTCCTTGGGAGTGATCCATGTTTGCACAGCTATACTGACAATACAATTCTTTATTTGGATTCTTCTTGGGGCAATACAGTATCTTGGCCAGAACCATTAATAACCAATTTAACAGTATTTGTGTCATAATTTTGGTTCACTGCAGAAATAAAATAATTAAAGAGCAATTATTAGACTGGAAATAAATGTAACATCTTCTTCATTTTAAGATTTATTCTAATTAAAGTAATAGAAATATTAAACACGTGAGGGTAAATCTCCATTTTGGATACTACTATCTTTATTCCTTAAAAGTGAGTGAAGATTTTTTGGATTTATGTCACTGAAAGCTGAGCCTGGCTTTGATTGAGTCTTCTTGTTTGTCAAGATTTATAACTTCCTGGTGGAGAGATTAAAGAAGATGGATATTTTTTTCTGATGTCCTCCAGAAGAGGGCTTTTACTCTGATTACAGTGTTTCTCCCAAAATTCATAATGCTTTGTGAGTTGAAATGGTGCTTCAAGTCCTGGTAATTCACAATTGTGTGTTTGGGAGCTGGGACCCTCAGGATTCCCAGATCTGTCTTCTGTGGCAGTGAATTATGTTGTCCAAGTAGAATATTTAACACTCATACATTAAAGCTAAGAGGTCTAGGAAATGTAAAAAAAAAAGTATATCATAAATGGCAAAGAGAAATAAAGTCTGCATAGTCAATAATTAAAAATATAAATTAGTGCTTCACAGTGTTAAAAAATAAGCTAAGCTTTTCAATTTCTTCATTTAAAAGAACAAAAAAGGAGCTTTTTCCCCTGCAGACTCAGACATTTGACTGCAAGAATCTTGTACACTTGCTACGTTTAGCTTTTTACTGGAGAGAATATAGACTTCTTCTTGAAAGAGTTTCAACAAGTAATTTCCTTAGTTGTTCTCTGAAGTATTCTTTACATCCACGAAGATGATTATGAACCACAAGACTAACATTTTAATTTTTGTCCATTACTGCACTCCTGACACAAAATGCCATAGCAACAAGGAGAATGGCAGTAAGGTCATGTGCTCATACCGTGCTCGCTTGTGCTGTACTGTTCCAATATTCAGTGCTAGATCTTACTATTATTTACCTCTGGCAGGTGTAGTTCCCTGAGTCCCTGAAACTGAAAACACTCTGCTTTTGGCAAGTGGCAAACTCTAGTCACTTCACACCTAAGATGTGGTGTTAATAAAGGACTAGCAATTCTTTATAAAACTTTATGCAAATTATTCAAATTTGATTTATTTAAAATTATGAAGGAAGGTAGTGAAGTTTTAATGAGCAGCTATGCTGTGCATTGTCTGTGCACAAAGCAGATGTAATGATGCATTATAAATGCTTAGAAAATTTAATCAGTGTAGAAAAAATATAATGAAATGGTTGTTTAAACACTGGAAAGCTAATGTTATAGTAATTAGTTCCCATTGAGCAAGACATGGTGCATATTATCTTGGCTGTGTTTGATTAGTGATCCTGCTTGTGACATCTTGTCTTTTCTTAATACTATTTCAATATCATTTTAAAAAATTTTAATCCTAATCCCAGTTAAAAATACAAAAACAAGAATGGCATCAAATTCAGTTGTTCTTCTTCTTTTCTGACACAATCTGCATGAAAGTCTGCTCTTGATTTACTCTGGCTATATATAGGAAGGCTGCTTGAAGACTTTCTGCAAGAACACTTGTGCTTGCAGAAAAAAATTGTTCTGTGGAGGTTGTGGGGGATTTTTTCCCCCTGAAAATAATACCAACAGTTAATTGTAATGATACTCATATTTTTAAAAATGTCCTTGTAGAAGGTGGATTGGTGTATACTGAAGTTTAGCTATGTGTTTTTCCTAAGATTTCCTTTAGATGAGTAAGACATGGATTTCACCATTGGTTTGTCTCAGTTCTTTGGGGCCTGTAAAGGCACTTTTTCACTGATAGCTGTATGTCAGTCCCTAAAATGAAACATATAGAAAATTCTTAGCATTAGTTCTTTTACAAACATAAAGCTTGGATATAAATGAACAAGGGATTCTTATTAATCTTGTCTACTGATAATTATTTTTAGGAGCTGATTAGGGCTTTTGCATTAGGAACTATCTTTAATCACAGAGATTCTGAATTGTGGCTGATGTCTTTTAATCACATTGGACCTTAAATGGTAGATGGAACTGAATTATTTTTGAAACCTTCAGTCAATGAGACTTACTCAAGATTTTAAGGTGTGTTCAGCTCCTAATGAACCCAGTAATGAAGGACTTATGAGAGTTGAATTAAAAGCCATTATTTGAACGTTTAGACTCCACTATCCCTGAAGAGCAGAACAGGAGGAGACTGTTTTGCAAATGCTGAGAAGAAAGAGTAGACTCTTAAAAAAAAAAAAATCTCCCAGTAAATATAATGGAAAATATAAAAATAAAGTGGACTACATACCACTGCATTGCAAATTCTGCATGCTCAGGTCTTCACAAACACCAGAAGAGTAAATATTTATTTCTCACTTTCAAGAAGCATGCAAACCATGCATGTATCTGCCTCTTATTGAACAATAGTAGTTAATTGTTATAAAACATGAACCTTGACTGTAATTTTAACTAGTAATTTGTGTACAAGACCTAAACTGATACTGTCAAGGTAAAGTCTGTTAATGGCTTTAGAGTCCATAAAAACTTAACATGATGAAAATTGCTAAAAAGAGAAAAGATCTTCAGTGAAATATTCAAATTTTTCCTTGTGTGAGTACTTGAAGGCTTTTTCAACTTTGTAACAGTTGTACTTTGGATTTTGGAGTCAGACCATTCCTAATTAATCTTTTTTAAATGATTTAAATGTTTTTGATTGATCACTCAGTTTTGTGGACCTGACATTATATATGTTTTGAATCCTAAGATACATAATAGTATATGTTGGTACACTGCATATATATTGCTCAGGGAAATTACCCATTCTTTTTGAATATTTTGGATAATTTTGCAAAACTTTGATTCTATTCAAAGAAAAGAAGAACCCACTATTTCAGAAAGGAGTAGCCCACTGATCTCATGTCTAGGTACTAGTTGGTAAAATTATTACTGTTGGCATAACCCTAGAAATAAAAAAATGATTTGGGGATTTGGGGCTAATTTGAGAAATGAACAGGTGAAGCTGAAATAACTTAGGAGAAAGGAGAAAAGGAACAAGAGCCAGCTGCTCCAAGAATCATTGGCTTGTATCAGTGCAGCATATGGAAGGGCAAATCATAAGTGCATGATTTCATCATCTCTCTGGTGAAGGCTTTGCCTTCAGAACAACAGTACACAATTTTTGTTGTGAGTTTTTTTGGTTAATAAGGAGGATTGGGTTATAGCTCCTCCAGGAGGATCCTGCAGAGTCAGAAAACAAGCCAAGACATGGCTTTCCTCCAGAAATGCTTTTTATGTCATGGAGAGTCTTAAATCAATAGCCTCGAGCTAAATTGAGCCGACAGTGAATCAAACTAATACTCATTTAAAGAGTAAAAAAAAAAACACCTCACAGAAAAATCTGTATGCACTTACCTAAAAAAATCTATATACGCTTACGTAGTTAAACGGTATGGTTTTCCTTAATTAGTTCTCATGTTCTGTTTAAAGCTTTTTCTAAAATCTGCAAGATGCTTAATGCCTTCTATCTTTGTGAAAGTAAATATTATGTCACTGTGATGCATCCTGCTTTGTCCAGAGACTATACTTTGGACTCACATCTGTAATTGAAGCCATGCCATGAGGATACCGGGCAAACCTTATAGGCTGATTTATCTTTGTCAGAGGGGTAGCAGTGCTCAGCACTGAAATCCAGGATATACATGACTCTAAACAGAGCAATTTGTCAAGTATTTCATTGACACAAATTGAAATGAAACTGAGTTCTCAGACTCTAGAGGTCACTTTGCAACAGGAAGAGTTCATTATCTATGTATACACAGAGGAAAACTGTTCCATAGTTGAAGTTGTGAGAGATAGACACACACACATAAAACTTAAAACTCATAGGTCACACTTTCAAAGTAAACTAAAAGAGCCTACAAGCTCCACTGTTCCCTGGCTAATAGCCCATCAGTTCCTCTGAAAATAAAAAAAAAAAAAAAAAAAAAAACTGTCATCGTAATGAAGTCTATCGAGTGTTTCAGACTCTTTTCATTTACAGAAATGTACAAATTACCTGCTTCAAGTCTTAGATTAGGCAAATGCCTTCTCATGAATGTGTATTAGAGTGCTGCATACATATACAAGGCATCCCAACCTAAGAAGAATGGTGATTTTTAAGGTTAATGTATTTTATTCCACCTATGGCCTACTTTCAAAATTTATTAGAGATGTGCTCCTCTCTTGAAGGTGTGCTTACATTCAAGCCTATTGCTGCAGAAGCCTGATTAAAATCTTTCCTGGGTTAAAGCACAGCTGTCAAGAAAGAAGAAGAAATCTGCTATGCAGAAACAAGCTCCTCTTTAATTTGCATAGATACTGTTGGGAAGTGAAAAATGCATGAGAAAAGACAAGGAAAGAAAAGAAGTACTGATAAAATTAAGAGGGGGTGAAATACACATTTAGAGCTGCAGGGAAATTTATCTTACATGTGCAGTGTTTTATGGCAGGGGAGCAAAACACTGATGGTAGGCTAAAATTGTTGGAATGGGTGTTTGATCAGCAGTAACATCAGGATGGTCCCAGTGGTGGAGATTTGCCAGAGGGGAGGAATATTGCTTTCCATTGCAGAGTTTCAAATGTTTTTTTTCAAATGCTGCAAGTTGTCTCTGCTTGTACTTGTGAGGCCATTTGCTCTGGTTGAGCATGACAATACTTCACGTCCACTTTGCATGTGTGTGGGAGATCCCAGGTGAAAGAGGACTAGTACTCAGGATTTATTTTTCTGCAGTGGCACCTCTTAAAGGCCACTGAAATTAATGTGCAGGTTTGACTCTTTCTTATAGGGTGAAAGAGAAACAGATTGACTAAGAAATGGGTAATTTGAAAGCAATGAAAATTCACCCTGATAGGTGGAAATATGTTTACTGTTCTCTATCTAGAAAATATTTGGGTGAGGCATCCACTAGAGAGATAAATACAGATGGGTGGTATCCAGATGATTTAGACAAATTGAAAATTTTAAAATATTAGGACCACTATTATCCTTTCCCATGCTTGCTTTTTCCCCCCTTTATAATATGCTTCAGAGATGGTAATATTTCAGGTCGTACTTTGATATATATAAGTCTAATGAAATTCTGGGAAAACTGAGAATTTTCAGGAGCATCATTCACTGCTCTCATTAAGGCTATTTTCCCTTCTCTTATGTTTTTATTTATCAGAACTTCACTGATATCAGGGATACCAGCTTGCTTCAACTTGGCTGTTTGCCTGAAGGGAGGGTGGCATGCTGTCCAAGACTGAGAAGCAGGACATTTTCTATTGCCATCTGTGTAGCAGTTGTCTTCTGGGCAGTTTTCCTTATCTCCTGTTAATGGGTCCATCAATGTCCCACCACATGACTCAGAGGTAACTCCCTCCTGGAGCCATTTTCTGTTTCATAGGTGATCAAGGACTCACCAAGTGACTCAGGATGACATCAGCCTGTGGTGAGATGCTCTGCCAGAGGGGAGGGGCTAAGTGTTTCCACCTAGATATATCCTGGGATTTTTTTAGACAGAGAGGCACCTTCCCACAAGTTTCCAAGAGGACCCAGCTGGAGTTTCCACTGGACTGACTACACCTTTTCTACAGGACCACTGCTCTGACAGAATCACATCTGCCACTCCAGGAATACGGCAGCCACTCCAATTTGGACTGCTACCAACAAAGATAGCCAAAAGGGTGTCAGGTTGTATTCTGACTTTGTCAGTGGTCTTCTTTTTGTATTATTGCATGTATTTTGTTTCTTTCCCTTTTCCCAATAAATTGTATTTCTGACTTGGAGTCTCTCACTGGTTTTGCTTTCAAATCAGAACACATGCTCTGGACATCAAGGAAAGTCCCCTGGAAAACAAGGCAGGCCTGACTGATAACTTATTTCTTGTGAGTGTTTGCAGTAGTTTTTATGATCTACTAAACTGCAAGTATTTGTTGGGACTATTTCTTAATATTATAATCTGTACAGTGTATAACCTGTTATTGTAATGTGTCTCAAAATTATTTCCCCACTAATTCTTTACTTGCAGAAAACCTGTTTAACTGAAGCCTTTCCTGTCAAAAACATGCTTTCTGATTGATATTTGTCACGAGGAAGAAAGCTTCCTTTGAACACTCTTATCCTGCTCTGATCCTGCAGATGTTTCTTAATGTGCTCCTAGTGGGTCTCCTAAAGTTTTTGTGTTGTTTGTTCTGAAACACAGACAGAACAAAGCTCTGGTTTGCAAAGAGCAAGCTGTGCCAAAAGTTGTAGGAGACAATGTTTGTTTTGTAAATGCAAATTCTTGTGCTACGCAGTATTCAAGGAAACAAAGGTTAAAGAGATATTGCCATGGGTAGCTTCAAAAAAAAAAATTCTACTGAAGTTACAGTAAATAGTTATAACTACATTAATAGGCTAGAGATTTCTGGTGATAAAAATGACAAACAGAATTTGCTCAGCTTGGCTAGGAATATTTATTCTTGTAAATGCACTGTGATTTAACCTCTGAGTAAAATAAACACCTGATGAAACAACAAACTTATTAATATTGAAATGGCTGATGACTTGTTACTAAAAATACTCAGAATGCAAAAGAGGACTTTTATGCAGTAGGATTATGAATTTCTCTTCAGTGAAAGTCTTAAATTATACTTACACAATTAGGCCAGGTTATGGAGTGTACAGCAAATTTAATCAAACTGATTATTTAAATAGGAGGAAATTACATAATACTTGCATGCTGCTGTCTGTAGATAGCCTTGAAATTGCAAAGGACAGCAGAAGAAAAAGTAGACAACTTTGTTTTCTGAGAAAGAGAGAAGGTAGAAAACACTAAGGAGTTCAGATATTCATTCTGATAAGTATTCTTCAAGATTTGGGATTGTGGTCTTCATTTTAGAGTGATCTAGATTAATCTGGAGACTATTTGAAAAAGCCTTAATGATGTAGGTCAGAAGAAAGAGTGCTAGAGCAGCAAGTCTGATATAGACTAAGAAGCAAACCAATTTGTTAAAGGGAAAAAAATCAATTTGTTAAAAAATATTGTCCATAAATTTTTATTCCGTTTTGATGAATTGCAACTAATGAAAAATATGCATATAAAATAGAAATAAAAATACCATAACAACAAGCAAGAGAAGTTGTAAATCCAGCTGTTGAGAAATCTTTTCCTGATAACTCTTTGGAACTATTTGTCAGGACTTAGACATTACAAGCCAGTCAAGTTCATTGGTTAAATTATACTTAGGACATTTGGAGTAGTTTAGTGGTACACTTAGGGGAATGTGGTGTTGTGATAAAACCCCTTTTCTTGATTACATGTAAACAATACACCAACAAAAATATGAGCTAGAGCTGTAATAATTATGGTTAAATATTGTAAATTTTGGAATTCTGGATATATTTAATGATTGTTTAGTCAGGAAAAAAAAAAGAAAAGTTACTGTTCAAGCACTGTTTTAAATAGTTAAAAATGAGACTTTTTTGTTACTGTGAAATTTCAGTTTGGAGGAGAGATACAGTCATTGTATAAAATTCATTGAAGTCCATAACAATTACTGATGATGTTTTTCTTTCCCTAATGATAAAACATAAATATGTTTGTCATATTTAGAGCCCTAAATTGAAGGATAAAGTTAATACTATGACTGGATTGGAATTTTGCTGGTAGTTTCTAAATCAATCATTATTATCTCTTTGCTTTTATTGCAAGGAAAAAGGAAGACATCAAGCAGTCACATATTTACTTTAGGTTATAAAAAGCCTTATTTATCAAAGATAAATACAAGTATAAATAAAATTCAGGTGGAAAAATGTGCATAAAAGTTTTGCTCTTACATTTTATGGGGAAGAGAAAAACTGTAATAGTGTGTCTGAGGAAGAGCTCAGCTTAAATGGAGGTTTTCTGTTTCAATGGAGAAATAAATTTTTCACCTAAAACAATCAAAGCATTAACAAAGAGGGGAAATATGAATGACCTTAAAAATTAGGGTTGTATAGAACACTCTTGAGGGAGTCTAGAGTAATTGTTTTAAAAAGGACAAGAGCAGAAAAATATTTCAAATTTCCTGTATATAAGAGACAAAGGATGGCAAAGTCCATTTATATATGGGGGTGCTAAAAAGACGATGCAGGGAAGGGACAAGTATTCATAACCATTTCTCTTCCGTATAAATAAATTAGCTGATGTGCCACTATCACATGAGGATGACGTACTGCCCTCTCATCCACTAAGGAGGATGTTCATTAACAATGTTTAAAGATAAATACTACAGACAGAAATCCTGGATGATTTGCTACAGTCTAATACCAGTAGTTAAGATGTCTTTCTTACTAACATTAATATCTAATAAATATGAAAGATTATAAC